CTTGCCCTTGCTACAAGTCTTTTGACAGTTCCCCCAACACCATCACACGCACTCTTTCCATGTGATGTAGCAAAAAAATGCCATTCCGCAGATACGTCATGATCTTGTTTATGGTGACATAAGTTAGATAGGTTTTTATAATTTTTGTATTGTGAACTTGCACCATCACTGAAATAAATGCAGTGGTTAAAGTAGGGTATCATATTTTTTATATGTTTTAATACTTCATGAATGAAACAATGTACTGAGTTTGTATTGTGTTGCAAATTATCTGAGATAATGCAAATACTTTTACATTTTATCTTGTTTTCTTCCATAAAGTAAATAACAAAAGGATGCAATGTTGCTTGGCTATTGTTCCAATGGAAACCTTGTACTGCATCTTGAATTAAAAAACTGTAATTCTCAGCAAAGTCTAATAATATTAAAATATGATTACTTGCTAATGTGATTTTTAGATGCTGCAAATATGCTGCTTGATTTTTGGCTATATAGTGATGGTCTCTTAATTGGTCTATTTATTGACAAGCTTTTTCAATAAAATCGTCCACTGGAAGAGTTACCGGAACTATATCATGTTTTTTGTTAGCTTTTTGCCACTGATTAAAGTTGATTTCTTCAATGCTATGTTTATCAAACAAAGTAGTAAGATACTCTTTAAGTGTGTCATTATCTGGGCAGTTATCACAGCAATGCAGCATGCAGTCTCGATTTGTTAAGTCACATACAACTAATGTCAAGAGATTTTTATAGTCTGAAATATCTGGTATTTTTAATGCTAAAAGTTTGGCATTCTGGTGGTACTCACAAACGCATACTGAGTGGAGACCTGAAGCACCTCCAACAGGAATACACCACTTTGGTCTAAGTTCACAAAACTTAGAAAATCCAATCTTGACATCTAAGGAAATTTTAACAAACTCTAAATAAAGTTCTTTTATATTAAGTAATAGCAGTCTTTTTTGAAAATGTTGTCTTTTACCATCAACTTGGATTGAGACATACTGTTTTTTTCCTGGACACATTCTAGAGTATTCATCTGATTGGTAAAATTCATGGACTAGATTTTTTACTTTCTCACTAATAGATCTTCCTTCTTTTTTAGATGGCTCCGCAATTATGCCATGCATTTGTTTCAAATGCCTTGCAGTTTTTATCATTCTTTGGGAAGCAGAAAAATAGTTTTCTGTATAGTTAATGCTCCAACTCTCAGGAACCAAAGTTAGCAATTTAAGTTTTTCTGGTTTTGAAGAAATATCAAACTTTGCTTTAATTAATTCCATTAGTGAGTCCAAATCTTGTTTACTTTTGCAACAAAGTTCTTTTGTTTTTGGTTCATCATTTATTAAATCCGGAGAAACATCTAAAACAGTTGCTATTTTCTTTTTGGTTGCAGTATGGATCTTGTTAATCTTTCTTTTTGCATAGCTGACTCTGTCTTTATAAGCTACTAGTTTTAGAGGTGAACAACCAAAGGTGTTAATGCTTAAATTAAAGTTTTCTTTTGAAATATGAATCCCGTTAAAATCGTTATCTTGATTTTTACATGAATAGCTTTCATGTTCTTGTTTTCTTAAGTGCAATATTTTACGACATTCTGTACAAAGCTGATAACCAGGTATTAAATCAAATTCCTTTGCAACAGCAGCACTGATTACTCTGACAGATTCTAAAAAAATATATGATAAAACACTAAATAAATAAATAAAGAAGACTTTATCTTTAATATAATCATTAAGTTAATCTATTTTTAAATACTTTTAATTTTAATTTTGTGTTTGTTAAAAGGATCGCAACAAAAGCTTCCAACATACAATGACTCAAATCTATCCAAGAAGATCTTTTCATGGTGATTACAAATAGTTTTAATAGGATTTACTTTACATCTTAAGTGCACAAGCTCTTGATCTTTTTTTGTTAATTCCTCAAAAAATTTAATTTTCTTGATTTTCGTAAATTTTCCTTCATGACAATTTTCATTTAATTTTTTTCCAATGCAACATTGAGTTAGATCTAAAGATGAACTTGCCATTTATTTTTAATTATTATTTAAAAAAAATATATTTATTTTCAATTTTAGAAGTGTAAACTAAAGTTTCCATAAGTTTTGACACAATAAATAAGTATAGAATGATAAATTTTATATACGAAATTAAAGATAAAAGGTACACCCAATAGCTTGTTTGCCATGTCACAGCTTTTAACTGTGTATGTTCAATTGTTATTTTGTGCATTAACACTTCATGCATTAGAAAAAAAACCAGACACATTTTGTAAAGTAAAACATACAATAACATATTTCTTTTAAGATAAGTTCTGGGAGAAAATACATATGTATTTTCTTCCAGATATATATGTTAAAAAATAAAAAGACAGGGTGGGGGGGGGGGCAACTAAGGTTATTTAAAACCTGAGTTTAATTCAGTCCTAATTTAAAGCTAATTTGTAGCAATGATTTTGATATACTTTCATATAAATATACATTTTTTTGCATTGCAGTAAATAATGAATACTAAAGTACATCAATATCTCTATTTTTTGCATTTTTAATGCATTTTGTGCCAACTTCATTGTTCTGACTTTGTAACTTCCCCATGAGTACCCACTACTTTTTTTTCTTAAATCACTTTAATAAAGTCTACTAAATGAGTAGAAAAAAAGTATATCATGAAAATCAGTGTTGATCATAGGTTACCAGTGGATTTAAAGGAAGGCACAATTTTGTAAGTTCTAGCCGGAGCCATTTTTAGGGGTCCATAATTTCTTACTGAATTGTATCATATCAGCAAATTTCTGAAAATTAGGAAGCCTACCATATATAGAAACTAAAAAGATATGTATTTTTACTTCTTAAATTGCTAGTTTTGTATATTGACCCATCAAAAATCAACTTTCTATATCTGCAAACAATTTTTTCGGTTTTTTAGGCAGCCATTATGGATAAAATGTGACATTTAAAAATTTAATGTCAAAGTTTTAACAAAGTAAGCCTAGCATTGTATATGATAAAAAAACTAGAAGGTTTTCTGAAATTTAGTTTTTAAAATACAGAGCTTCAAATTATGAACAAAACATGTTTTTGCTACTGAAGTTTTTATTTTTGGAAAAATCAGAAATTTCAAATGGCCATATCTCATGAACCACATAAGATTTGAAGCTGAAATTTTCAGGAATTGCTTTTCTCATTGATATAAACCAACCCACTAAGTTTCATCAAAATCTGAAGGGGTCCATGTTGGAATCCTAAAATTTTAGACCATTTGGCACGAAACGACCCTAGTATTATTATTATTATTATTATTAATATTTTAATTTGGGGCTTAATGATAAGACTTTGGGGCTTAATGATAAGACTAAATTTGTCTTCTTCTAGCCCCGGTCATGTAATTATTTTTTTTTATAAGTTACGACTGTTAATTTTTTTTTATCGGCAAAAGTGTAAATAAATAAATAATATTAGGAAGTTCATTTTGTCATAATTTGTAATATAGTTTTATATTGGTTTGTATTATGTTTATTTGTCCGTTAATTTTTTCTCTGTAAAAAATTAATGGACAAATAAACTTGTCTTCAGTTTTTAATTTTATTTACCAGAGTTTTAATTGTAAATTAAATCTTTTGAAAATGTAGTAAGACTACGAAACATGTCAAGAATAAAAAATGTTGTGATTTTTATTAAAATTTATATATATATATATATATATATATATATATATATATATATATATATATATATATATATATATATATATATATATATATATATATATATATATATAGTAAACTCCCGGTTATTCGAACCGGCACTTATTCGAAGTTCTTGGTTATTGGAAGCAAGTTCTATTCTCTATGAGCTTTTTTTAACAGACTCGCGCACTCAGTTATTCGAAGTCTTGGTTATTCGAAATAAATTCTTGTACCCCGTGGAGGTTCGAATAACTGGGAGTTTGCTATATATGTATATATATATATATATATATATATATATATATATATATATATATATATATATATATATATATATATATATACACAATATATATATATATACGTATATATATGTATATATATATATATATATGTATATATATATATATATATATATATATATATATATATATATATATGTATATAAATATATATATATGTATGTATATATATATATATATATATATATATATATATATATATATATATATATATATGTATATATATATATATATATATATATATATATATATATATATATATATATATATATATATATATATATATATATATATATATATATTTATATATATTTTATATATATATATTTTAATTCACCTCCCCAAGGCCAAGAAGGCCATTACAGATTAGGAGGCTACTTGCGGTTAAACCCTCTCTCAACTCTATAACTCCGAAACACGAACCTTGACGAACAAGATCACTTTGCGGAGAAACAAGTTGAGTGCGCTATTACCTAGGACATGGTGGGAATCAAACTCAGAACCTCTCGCTTATGAAGCGAGCGTTCTACCACTACACCACTACCGCATATATATATATATATATATATATATATATATATATATATATATATATATATATATATATATATATATATATATATATATATATATATGTTAAAAGTGAAAACTGTAATTCATCACTTTATAAACTATGAAGCTATATGTTAAATAGGAAGTAGGAAAAGTAATTGTTAAAAAAAAAAAAAAAGTAAATCTAAAATTAATTATTGTTTTTAACAACTCCTGTTTAAATTTCTTGAAATATATGTGAGACATTGAAATAGTGATGTATTATTTCTGGTTGTTTGCTATTTTTATGAATGTCACCTTATAGTCCCTGAAATAAACTGAAATGTTGCTGAAGACCTAGTAAATTTTTTAGACTTTATTTGACCAATTTTTTTAGACCTAATAAAGTTCTTCTGCCTATAAAGCTAGTGAAAACATACTTTTTGGGGGATTTGTTTTATTCAAATGCATTTTTTTTAGATTTTAACAGTTCTTTTATCAATATTCTGTGATAGATGGATGACTTTCTTATCAAGGTATTATATAGTTAAGAATTGTTTAGAGATAAACAAATATGAATACTGTCTCTTTATGAAAAGAAAACTTATTATAAATCTGAATTGTGTTAAGTGGTTTGATAAATTTATTACAGTGTAAATTTTTTTTGTCTATTTGTTACATTCTGTCATATTTAATGGAAATAACTGAATTACATTTTTTTGAATAAGTTTTCTAATAATCAGTTAATTCACAAAAAATTAAATTTTTAATCTGTTAGTTAAAAGTTAAATTCTCAATAAATTGTAAGAAATTATATTTCTAATAATAAGTTCAATCGAAAAAAAAACAAACCTTTTTTCGATTAAACTAATTTCATATTTGTTTTATATTTAATGTAATTTATATAAAGAATAAATACCTAAAATTAATGGTCTAATAGGGGTATCAAAGTTTTTCTTCTTCTAGATAAATTACCTTCATCAGGGCTAAAAAGCCTCACCTTTTTAATAGAGGTTCAGTGTATAGCCATGACCAGGATGGTTTGTCAATCTGATTTCAGAAAATAAAGGCAATTTTTTAAATTACACTGCATATTACAATTATAACTGTTTTTTTAATAGTTTTTGCCAGGGATGTATAATCCAAAAATAGACCAGGAACTTTAAAGTTATTGAGAGACTTATGAACTGAATGCAAAAAAACTATAGTGGATTTAAAGTCTTGGAGCCTAAAATTTTTTAACCTAGAGTCTCTAGCTGTCATTACACAAGGGCTCAGTTTAAAATTGAAAATTTCTGTTATCTAAATATCCTGATTTTTTTCTTCTAACTAATTCATAAGTTTTCTCAAAGCTTTTAAAGCTCCTTGACACCAAGGGCAGAGTATAAATCATTTTTAGGACTTCACATCCCCTTAACACAAAGTTTTTTATATATATATTTTTAGAATCGAGTTGTTAATCAAGAAGCATTAGATGAATTTATTGCTGATTTGCCCATCACGTTCGTTTGTCACACCTGGCCAAAAGAATTTCAAAAAGCTGCTCTAAAAGCGTATACTGAGTTTATTGAACTCAAAGTAGTTTTTCAAGACTGGAATTTAGCTAGCATAGTTGCACCTTACCCTGTAAGACATTTATGGAAAATGCATGCAGCGCATTATAATGGGCTTTGTCAAAAACTTTTCAAAAATATTATTGTCTACAAGAAAGGTAAAACCTCTGCTGAGCAGGTTCAGTTTACTTTAAAAGCTTACTTTATGAGATTTAATCATTCACCATGCAAAAATATTTGGGATTTTGATCTGAACAAAGAACTGTGGAAATATAGGATTACCAATTGGGATAAACTTTGTGTTTCTAAAGCTTCTTCAAATTTTAATGAGTTAGCTATATGTAAAAAATCATGTCTTGATATTAAAAATATAAACGATCAACACATAAACAGTTGTCAAAAACAGCGCCAAGTAAAACAATACAACACCAAGCAAACAAAAAAACAAAGTAACAGTCAATCGAATACTCTAACAACTCCAAGTTTAGCAACACGCTCAAATATTAAAAAAATGAAAATCAAACATAAAGAAAATGTTTAATAAAATAAAGAATTCTAGTTTGAACTTTTACTTTATATATTTATATTATAGTGTGTGCGTGTGTGTGTATATATATATATATATATATATATATATATATATATATATATATATATATATATATATATATATATATATATATATATATATATATATATATATATATATATATATATATAGATGTATATTGTGCATCCGTATGTATATTATGCATCCGTTTTTAATAAGTCTTGTTTTTTATCTTTTCTTGTATTTTTAGTTTGGAAAGATTTTTGAATGAAAATATTTTTAAAGTTTCTAGGTTTAAACCAAAATTATATTTATATATATTTAAAAACATTTTTGTTGATATAAAAATAAAGAATTTTACATTTTGTAAAAATTTCAACTTATCTATGGAAATTAATAACAATAATTCATACTGTTTTTCACTTGTATTTTTATAGATTTTTGCTTTTATAATATATAAGTAAACTTCTTTTTTATTTTTATTTATGTTCTTTTTTTCTATTGTGTTTTTTGATTTTGAATTAGCTTTTAGTTAAATAAAATAAAAAAGTTTGAAAACATGAAAAATCTTGGAAGAGCTGATATTGGTTTGTGCACTTTTCTTGCTTCAGCTCATCCCTCTGGTGCATGTGGTACAAATGGTTTACCTGTAACTCCAAACTCTATAAAAATTTACGGAAGGTTCCAAGAACTTAAACAACTATCACATCCAAATATTTGTCAGTATATTGACATAGTTCGTGGCAATCATGAACGTATTGTGGTTATCTCAGAACACTACCAAGATAACCTTTTACTCTCCATGAATAGATTTGTAAGTATCAGTGAAATAAAAAAGTTGACTTATGACATTGTTGTTGGTTTAGAATATTTACATTCCTGTGGTTATGTGCATAGAAACTTGTCTCCTTGCAATATTTTGTTAGATTGTAATAATCGAGCCAAGCTTTCTTGTTTTGGTCTTTACCACATGACATCTTTTGGTGATAGTGTTTTATTTCCTATTGGTGATATTTTATATATGAGTCCTGAAGTTGTTGCTTCTGGTATAAGATATAACTCTTTATACGGACCTTCAAATGCAAGTGCAGATATTTGGTCACTTGGATTGATATTACTTGACTGCTATCTTGAGGGTAAGCTTTGGGGTCAATTACGAGATTCACCATCAAAAATAGCTAAATTTCTTATTGAATTGTTAAAAGAAAATCCAACATGCTTTAAAGATATACTGAAAGTAAGTGAAGCCAATGAGAAGGTTGCAAGTACAGATGAAAACTTCATTTCTTTTATAAGTTTGTGCCTAACCGTAAATCCTATATTACGCCCTTCAGTGTATACTTTATTTAATCACAAGTTTTTAAGCTCAGTATGTGATTCAACTGTTTATACCAACAATCGTGTGATAGGTGATCGGTTTCCTGAACTATATCGTTCAGCCAATCTTCAAATGCTTGATTTTAATAAGATGATACTTGAAGCTAATGCGTTTGAAGAAGATCACTTATCTTGTAGATCTATTGTAGAAGTTTACCATTTATGGTGCCTTGCCGGAGGTGACATTTTTAATGAGCTTAAAAAGCAACAACTTATTAAAACTAAACCTTCAATAGTAATGCTCCCCACTGTAGTTCTATGCAGTGGTGAAGATTTTGGGATGGATAATGATCAAGCTTTACATTTTGACGGTAAAACTATATCTGTCAGTCTTTATCAGCTCAGACATCGTCTGTCAAACATAAATCCAACAGCATATTATCCTTTAGTAATAGAAGATGACTTATATCCTACTGATACTTCAGAAACAGCAAAATTGCCTTTAATAATAAAGGAAAACAATGTTGAATACCAATTCTATCGTATTGTATTATTTGACAGACTATTAAATGGATATCCTCATTCCAGGGAAAGGTTGGTTAAAGAAGCAAGAATTGATATTTCACCTTTAGTTCGAGCAAAGGTATGGGCTGTTTTACTGAATGTTACTGGTGATATTTTTAGCATTTATGATAGAATAGATAAAGAGTCTTTTACAACAACTGACAGACAGATAGAAGTTGATATTCCTCGATGTCATCAATACAATCACCTACTTGCTTCCCCAACAGCTCATAATAAACTTAAGAGAATACTAAAAGCTTGGGTTGTGTCCCAAGAAAAGCTTGTTTATTGGCAAGGTTTGGACTCTTTATGTGCACCATTTTTAACTCTTAATTTTAATAATGAGGCACTAGCATACGCATGTTTATCGGCGTTCATTTCTAAATATTTGTATAATTTTTTTTTAAAAGACAATTCCAAAGTAATACAGGAGTACTTGGCCATTTTTTCCCAATTTATTGCTTTTCACGAGCCTGACTTGTTCAATCATCTCAATGAAATAGGTTTTGTTCCTGAATTATATGCAATACCTTGGTTTTTAACGATGTTTTCTCACGTGTTCCCTCTTCAAAAGATATACCATCTATGGGATACCCTTTTACTTGGAAATTCTATGCTTCCATTATGCATCGGAGTTTCAATTCTCATGCAGTTTAAAGATCAACTATTATCTTATGGTTTTAATGAGTGCATTCTTTTGTTCTCTGATATGCCTAGTATTGACATAGAGCGCTGTGTAAAAGATTCTATAAAGCTTTTTAATTGTACGCCGCCCAGTGCTGGTCTTAGAAAGGAAGATAATCCAACAAATCGTGTAAAGGCGCCAGCTGAAGAACAATTTATGAATTTACCCGAAAAGGAGTTTATACCTTTGGCGCAACTTAAAGGAGAAATTTGTCTTAGAATATCTTCTCGAGATTTGGTGAGAATATCCTCTTTGATATATCAGCAAAGTTTTTCATCGACGAATTTAAAGGAAAAATTCAACCAAATGAAAAAGCCAAAATCGATCAATGGTTCTAATCCACTGAAAAGCAGACAAAAAAAAAAAGTGTTAGTTGTCGATCTTCGCGCGGAAGAAGATTTTTTGAGCGGTCACTTGCCAAACAGTGTAAATATACCTTTTAAAACGGTAGTTAACGAAAGTAACCAGTATGTCTCTTCACCTGCTACAGCTATTTTAGAATCTAATAAAGGTTGCATGATTCTTATTCTTGGTCCAAAGGGGCTCCAACCGATGATTTTTGGTCAATTACTCGTTTCCCGTGGTTATAGACGTGTTTGTGTAATGGATGGTTCCGCTAATACTTTGAAAGGTTTAGGTTATTTAACAGCAGTATAACTTATATAATAAGTAACCATTAGTAACAATTGCGATATTAAAATACCTTAGTTTACTTGAAATAAATATAGCGAACATAAGAAAAATGAAAATTAAAGTTAAGTTAAAATAAGCGACTAAAGTGAAACGAAATTGTTTTCTATAAAATTAAATCCCAATTTTTCTTAAAGAGATTTCTTAAAGAGATTTAAACTGCTTTGATAAGATGAGTTAACTTAAATGGCTTTTTTTTTTTAAAAGATTTTTTTTTATTACATTTGTAATCATTAAATAATAGTGAAAATTCAATTAAAAAGTTTTCTAAAAATTTTTATATTTGTATATTAGAAATTTTTTTAGTTATAAATTTTAATTTGGCTGCTTAACTAAAATAAAATATTTTTAAATTAAAAAATCATTAAGTTTTTCATGATCAGTATATTTTTAAAATAGTTTTACCTTATTACATTACCATAATGCAACTAATAATAAATAACTAGCAAAAAGCAACCCGTAATACGAGTTTTGGTCGGTCTGTTACATAATTAATTTATAGTGGCTGTTTTCCACAGTTTAATGTTGCAAAATCTTAACTAATACCCTTTTAGAAAATCGCCTTCAGCTTGAAAAAATTAATCCATCTGTAAAATTAACATAAAAAGTATAAGGTAAAATAATTTACCAACTACTACTTAACATTTACAATTACTACTTAACATTATTTAAGTAATTTACAAATGGCATAGGTCATAACAGTGAAAGGCAGAACCATTTTTATCGACCTTCCTAAATTTAACACAATACGTTTTTAGTTACTGAGACAAAATAATAACACTTCGTCATGCTTTAAATTGACGAAAGTGTCAACTAAATCCTTGTAATAATTTTTATAACACGAACCATTAAGATTAAAATGAAGTTAACTTATATTATACAGGAGTTATCAATTTTTTGGTATCCCCTTGGTTAATTGTTCATTAGAAAAAAAAATTGTTAACTTAAAAATGTTAAATGCACACATTTAAATAAATTTATAAAAAGTAACAAAGTTTATTATAAATAACTACGCAACTGAGTACAAATACCTTTCAAACAAAAAAAATTTAATTTACGATCAAACATGGGTATAACAAATTTTTTAATGCATTAATGCATCATATGACAAACCTAAAACAAAAATTATAAGAGATAAGTAGACATAAAAATTTGTAAACCGAGCTGATACGACCCGGGTCTTGTTAAGTCTGTTCAACACAGACCATTTCTATATTATTTGTTTGTAATCTTTATTTCATTAGTTTTTAGTAAACGGTAATTTGCCACCATTTACTAAAAATTCCTTTTGTAACTCGAAATTTAATTTTCCTAAATATTTTGACTCTAATAAAGAGGTTCCTTCCCTCTTTTTGCTTTAATGGTGGCCAGGTGAATAAAATAAAATAATAAAATGTAAAACAATGATCTACATATATAAGAATGTTTTCTTTCTTTCCTCAAAAGTGTTGCAAATACAGACTAAGCTAACTAATTAGTTAAACACATAAATAAAACTTGAGTAACTCGATATTAATGCGCAAAACTACAATATTCTTCATATTTTTAAAGGTTTTTAGTTACGACCCCCCATTCACAAAGATCCCCTTAAAATACGTACAACAAATTATTAGGCAAAAAATAGATAAAATATAAAATTAACTAATAGCTTATATTTATATCTTTTTAACTAACAAAAATTTACAATAAAAAGAAATCAGGTTATTTTATTTTATAAATCTTATAAATGCGTCATAACGTAGTTCTAAAATAAAAAAGTAATAAAATTATGATATCATAATTACCAAAAAAAAAAAAAAAAAAAACCACCACACAATTACCAAAAATCGATTTACCTATTTATAGTAACCTATTTTGAAATTGCAGTTAAATATTTATCGAAAATGTAACTATAAAACCTGTTTTGAAATACCAAAGCATTAACAATACTAAAAAAAAATCAAACTAAGATATAAATTGTTGTTTTGGCTTTTATAATTTAATCATATATATAACTATAAACAAATATGACTTTATGTAACACGTATAAACACATTTTACAACTATTGAATGATAGATATATATTCACCAAAAACTATGAAAAAAAAAAAAAATAATGATAAATAAAGTTATACATACAAAATGTGCTCACAACCTTTAACAGTAAATTTTCGAAATGAAAATCTAAAGACTATAAATTAAGAACTTTAAAAAATATAACAATATTTATGATACATTTTTTTACCTACTATACCTTGAATAAGATATTTATCAATTTTGAAAAACAAACTATTAAATGGTATAGTTCTTGAAAATGCAGCATATAGTTGACCATGAGAGAAACACGGTTTTTGAGATATTTCTTTTGTCTATGTTTGATTTCGCGTTACGTAATATATAGACGATCCCTAAGAGAAAATACTTGAAACTAAAAAGATTTTATTTATTACAATATTTGAACAACCAAGGGACAATTTAAAGAATATCTTTAAATAGCAAATTATCAATTGCAGTATTAAAAAATACGCAAGAACTCAGTAATTACAGAGTTTAATCAGAGCTCAGTAATTACAGAGTTTAATCAATTCTCTCTCTACAATTCTCAATACTAATTCTTATTTAAGTCTCATCTAAGAGAGAGAGGAAGTGTTTTAAAAACATCATGTTAGAAAAAGTAAAAAAGTCATGCAATAAATAACAGTAACTGGTTTTATTATGCTACCAATAAACAAAATTATTTTTACCTTAACTAAAAGTTAATTTCCAGCATTTCTTAATTAATTTCCAGCTTCTCTCTAACTGTTGACAAATGAATAATATTGTAAATTTCACATCATATTAAATTTACAAAATTAAAACCATGTTTCAAAAGTAAGCAAAATAATCAAGTGATGACAAAGACAACTAAAAAAAAATGAACACAATTATGTTTAAGATAACAAAACAAAACAAAACAAAACAAAAAAAAATCATTTAAAATTGAAACTGTTATTATTTGTTACAATAAATAGTAAAATTCATACTTTGCTTTATTTTAAAGTGTCTAATGTTAAGTCAAATAATAGACATCAACACCGCTTGACACTGAATTCTGTCAAGTAAGTTTTCGGTTCATCAAGCAAAATTTCTTCAATTTCAACGACAAATAATTTTATTACGCCTAGATCTATTTCTTTTATATGACAACAATTTCAAGTCACCTATAACCATTTACACTAATAACTTCTTCGAGCCTAATATTATACATCTGTTATCATTAAATATATATTACCAGTGATTATACTACTGTTACAACTGAATAAATGAACTTTTTATAATTTTACAATTGAAAAATATAAAACAAAATTTATTAACATTATTTTAATTTAGCAAAGAATTTAGACTACAATGCAAAGTTATTTTAACCTTCAGGCACAACCTTAATGCCATCCTAATTACAGTCAGTTTTCCATGTTAAATAGATAAAATATATATCTAATATAAAGTAAAACAAAACATTAAACTTACTCAAATCAGTAACAGTTCGACTGTCTAAATATTTTTATTATTAACCCTTCTGTTTAAAAAAGGAAACAAATGATTTGAAGTGACTAAAAAGCACTTTAGCTCTTTCCAATTGAACTAAAAAATAAAATAAATCTTGCTTTGCTAAGTTGCCTATTTCTTAAGAATCTAAAAAACAAATAAGTAAAAAACCAAGAACAAACAAACATTTATTCATTAAAACTACTCTATTTAAAAAAATTAAATTAAACAGAGAACAACATTGATTCTCTTTGAAAGCTGAAAAACTTTTCAGCTCAAATTTGCTTGCAGACCTTGCTTATAAAACCACTTGAATAAGAAAAGCATCAAAAAAGCCTAGAAGCTACTTAAAAATGGTATATGTAACATTGAACTTTGAATGTTGACTGGAGTAGATATTTTTAAAAAACTCAAAATGATTTGTTATTCTATAGCAAATAAAACCACTATAAATCTGAAGTTAAAAATGTAACGAATAAGTAAATACAAAGAAAAATAATAAATAAAAGCAGTGAGTTCTAGTAATGAAAGTACCTATTAATCATTTTTAACAGCTGACACCAACGTAAAGATAAGCCAAAGGTAACAACATTACGCAAAAAATTATTAAAGATAATGCAACGTGTTTTTAGAATAGTTATATTAAAAGCTAGGCAACACTTAGACCTAAAGCAGTAACATCGCTTGACTGGTAAGGTTGATAAATCTTGCTCTACACGTTTGCCAACTCACTCCACTTTGAAATCATGGAAACAACATTAAATAAAAATATATACTAATTATAAAACACAATATATTTTTTTAATGTTACTTGCATATAAAAACACCCCATTTAATAATCTTGCACAAATTAGATATAATACATTTCATACTATTATAAAAGCACATTTATATAAACACATTTATAAAACAACTATATAACATATATCACCACATACGCGTATTTATCAAAAAAATTTTAACTTTAAGCATATTATACATGCAAACATATATGCAAACTTTTAACAACTATAAAACAACATTTATTAGCATCAATTATTTTTAATGTAACAAAGAATGCAGACTACAATGCACAACATTGTTAATAAAAATGAAGTTATGTCAGTCAGTATATATTTATCTAAAGTAATGAAAATGATTAAACCATTTAAAAACAAAATTAAAAATTTGTTATGAATATATATTTAGATACCTTAAAATGAAGCATAACATAACACTCTTTTGACAAATTCCAGAACAAATTTTCTTAATTTTCTATTCCTTATTATTTTTTCTTAGAGAAAATATACATATAGATATAAAGAAATATAAAATATACTGAAATAAACGCAAACTTATGTATATAAACTTACATGACCACAAATAACAGTCTTATTTTATTTAACTTTTCATATTAAATACATAAATAAAATTTTATTCTCATTATTCTTTCTATAAAAAAAAATCTTAGCCTATGTATGAAAAAATGAATTAAACTTACTAAAAAAGCGATCAGTTCCTCTTAACTGCTCTCAAAAATAAAGCAAATACTTGCTTAAAATGTTTTAAAAAGACTATGACAAAACTGAAACAGTTTTCTTAAAAAAAAAACATTGTACTAATAAAACTATTTTACCACTATTTTAGTTCTAACTTCTTCTAAAAAATGAAAAATAAATACATATTTAGACACCTTAAAATGAAGCATAACACAACATTCTTTTGACAAATTTC